AAGGGAGACCCGACGACGAGAGAGAAGCGTTCTATGCGCAGCTGGAGCAAGTGTAGGACGGCTGTTCGCAACGGGACGTCAAAATCGTCATCGGCGACATGAACGCTCAGGTAGGACGGGAGGCAATGTATAGACCGGCAATCGGGCCAAACAGCCTGCATGCCGTATCGAACGACAACGGCCAACGATGCGTGAACTTTGCAGCCTCTCGGGGTATGGTAGTTCGATGTACCTTTTTCCCCCGCAAGGATATCCACAAAGCCACCTGGAGATCACCTGACCAACACACAGAAAACCAAATCGATCACGTTCTAATCGACGGGAAATTCTTCTACGACATTATCAACGTCCGCAAAAACCGCAGTGCGAATATAGATTCGGACCACTGCCTAGTTGCAGTATGCATGCGCTCAAAACTCTCGACGGTGCATAACACACGTCGAGGTCGAACGCCGCGACCCAACATTGAGCAACTACGGGACGCCGGAGTTGCCCAGGACTACGCGCAGCAGCTGGAAGTTGCACTACCCACGGAAGAGCAGCTTGGCGCAGCTTGGCGCAGCTTGGCGCAGCTTCTCTTGAAGATGGCTGGAGGGAAATCCGTTCCGCCATAGGTAGTACAGCTGCAGCGGCACTAAGTACTGCAATCCCGGACCGAAGAAATGACTGATTTGACGGCGAATGCAAACTGTTAGTAGAGGAGAAGAATGCAGCACGGGCGAGAATGCTGCAACACCGCACGAGATTGAATGTGGAGCGATACAGGCAAGCGCGGAACAGACCAAACTCGGTTTTCCGAAGGAAGAAGCGTCAGCAGGAAGACCGAGATCGCGAGGCGATGGAAAATCTGTACCGCGTAAACGACACACGGAAGTTCTACGAGAAGCTAAATAGTTCGCGCAAAGGCTACGTGCCGCAAGCCGATATGTGCAAGGACTTGGACGGTAACCTTCTCACGAACGAGTGTGAGGTGATTGAGAGGTGGAAGCAGTACTATGACGAGCACCTCAACGGTGAAGCAGCAGAAAACGAAGGTGGCACGGCAACAGACCTTGGAGCACGCGCAGAAGACGACAGGCTACCGGCCCCTGATCTTCAAGAAGTTGAGGAGGAGATCGGTCGGCTGAAGAACAACAAAGCAACTGGTGTTGATCAACTACCAAGTGAGCTATTAAAATACGGTGGTGAAGCACTGGCTAGAGCGCTGCACTGGGTAATTGCCAAGATTTGCGAGGAGGAGATATTACCGGAGGAGTCCATCCAGGTGTCGTATGCCCAATCTACAAAAAGGGCGACAAGTTGGATTGCTGCAACTACCGCGCGATCACACTGCTGAGCGCCGCCTACAAGGTACTCTCCCAAATTCTATGCCGCCGTCTGTCACCATATGCAAGAGAGTTCGTGGGGCAATACCAGGCGGGATTCATGGGTGCCCGCGCTACCACGGACCAAATTTTCGCGATTCGGCAGGTTCTGCAGAAATGCCGCGAATACAACGTGCCCACACATCATTTGTTCATCGATTTCAAATCCGCATACGACACAATCGATCGAGATCAGCTATGGCAGATTATGCACGAGTACGGACTTCCGGATAAACTGACGCGATTGGTCAAGGCGACGTTGGATCGAGTGATGTGCGTTGTTCGAGTATCGGGGACACTCTCGAGTCCCTTTGAATCTCGAAGGGGGTTACGGCAGGGTGATGGACTTTCGTGTCTGCTGTTCAACATCGCGTTAGAAGGTGTGATCAGAAGAGCTGGGATAAACACGAGTGGCACGATCTTCAGGAAGTCCATCCAGCTCCTTGGTTGCGCCGATGACATTGACATTATGGCACGGAACTTTGAGATGATGGCGGAAACGTACATCAGACTGAAGGCTGAAGCTAGACGGATTGGACTTGCCATCAACGCATCAAAGACAAAATACATGAAAGCAACAGGTTCTAGGGAAGACAATGTTAGCCTCCCACCCCGAGTTCAGATTGACGGTGACGAAATCGAGGTGGTCGATGAGTTCGTGTATTTGGGCTCACTGGTGACCGCCGAAAATGATACCAGCAGAGAAATTCAAAGACGCATTATGGCAGGGAATCGTGCCTACTTTGGACTCCGGAGGACGCTCCGGTCGAATAAAATTCGCCGCCGCACGAAGTTGACTGTCTACAAGACGCTGATTAGACCGGTGGTCCTCTACGGCCACGAGACCTGGACTATGCTCGTGAAGGACCAACGCGCCCTTGGTGTTTTCGAACGGAAGGTGTTGTGTACCATTTACGGTGGAGTGCAGATGGATGACGGAACGTGGAGGAGGCGAATGAACCACGAATTGCACCAGCTGCTGGGAGAACCATCCATCGTCCACATTGCAAAAATTGGGCGACTACGGTGGGCTGGGCACGTCGTAAGAATGCCGCACGACGACCCAGTAAAAATGGTTCTAGCAAGCGACCCAACAGGAACATGAAGAAGAGGCGCGCAGCGGGCAAGGTGGATCGACCAAGTAGAAGGTGACCTGCGGACCCTTCGCAGACTACGAGGCTGGTGAACTGTGGCCATGGATCAAGTAGAGTGGAGACGACTTCTTCGGACAGCAGTGGACAACAAGGCCTTAGCCTGATTGGTAAGGTAAGGTACGTACTAGTCTTTCAGTACTACGCAGCCTGTTGACCAAATATTTAAAATCTTGTCATTACTGCTTTCAGTACTTTGAAATTTCATTAAATACTTTAAATTCTAACGAATTTTGATACTGAAATTATTTTAAATACATTTAAATTATTTGTTATTACATTAAATATCGTTAATTATATGTTGATTACTTTCAAAACCCTTAAAAGTATTTAAAATCAAATGATTACTGTCCTCAAAGTATTTAAATTACTGTGATATATTCTAAATATCACGCACTCACACCTGGTTGTGCGCGCCCCTTGGAAAAATGTAAATTTTGCGGGAGACGATGCCTTAACACTCGAAAGCAATTTTGTGAAATATGAAGTAAAACAAATCCTAGCTAGTTCTGCATGATGATTTTGTTTGATTTTTTTTATTTGTAAAGTCGCCGGGAAATACAAGCTGGCGATTTGTTTTTTATGATAAGTCCTTACTTGAAAACAGGCAAAAACTCACAAACGTTCATGGTATACAGTGTGATAATTCAATAATCAATAAATTATCTCAACATTAAGTGGCAAACCATTCATAAATTTTGGTAACATACAAAACATTCTACAATCCACATTTAATTTCATGTGTAAGCGCCGATTGAAACAATCTTTTCGACGTCACTACAAGGGTGATTGATTAAACGAAAGAAACGAATCGTGCGGAATGGAAGCCGAGGAAAAACTAATTGCATCAATATATTCAGGTCTACGATTCTACACCTTCTATAGACAGGTTGAGCCTTGATAGCTAGCTGCTTGCGGGAACTGATGACCTTGACCAATGTCCAAATAATACTCTTTAAGAAACTGTTGGTGGTCCTGAAAAGGACCGTTTTGTAGTGATGGTTGAGTAATTCTGAGCTGGGTGTTCAACACGGATGAGGCTGTCGAGCTGTGTGTCGTTTGAAGCGAGGGTGACACGCTTGGCATATATGACCGACCCTCAGCGACTCACGAAGAGCTACTGATTCAGATCCATAGCATAGCGGTGCAGCTTCTTCCTCCTTTGATGGTTGCTTATGTGGGCTCAGGCAGCCTTTCGTTGATACTGGAGAACAATTTTCAACGCCACACGCCGAAAGCACTGCTACTGCTGCTACTGCTGCTACCAATTTCGACGTCGAACACCACCACACAGTGGTGTGGTCGTTGGGAGCGTGTGGTTCTGAGTATGGCGATGAGTGTGCAAAATATTACGCAATTCCATCCTCCCTATTCGCACGCGTCCGAGGATTGGAGGCGAATGCCACTTTGACTTGTTTTGTCTATTTACTACTCTCTGACGACTGTGCTGGGGAAGCAGCATATGCATGTACGTAATTGGTGGATTTGTTAGTTAATTCGACGCTTCTGGACAATGCTGGACATTTACCAGTTTTTCAATAGTTTCTTGTTGAAAATCAACATTCGCATTGTTATATTTCTGATCGATTGGTGATAAAATTATTGAAATTGGACCTGGGGCAGCTGAGTTATTAACGTACAAAATCTTTCTTAATTTGTTACATGTTCCATTTTCGGTTCTCACAAAGTGTACCCCCATATAGAAATCAAAGACGTAGTCCTACGTCAAAAAATGGGTGAAACTCAAACAATTTAGTTATATCTGAAACTTTGAATGAGTATATAATCAGAAAACATCATAAGCAATAAGAATACAATATTTAATTTGTGATGGCAATATCAAAAATACATTCCATAAGAGATGGTTTGAGTGCTTTTTGTTTTTTAATATGTTTGTAAGATATGTAACACAAACTATATAAAAACAATATACGATATCAACGGAAATACCCTAAGCTACAATATGGAAATAATGCTTCTAATTTGGAAAAAGCGCAGTGAGTAAATTTAATCTTTATATTGTACTATCAAAGATACCCCGTTTTACGGTAATCTTTAGGCTGATGGTGGTCTTCAATCAAATGAGCATATCTTTATATAATTTTCTTTTTATCAAATAAAGGAGGGTCATCATTTCAGGATTTAAAAATTTCGGTTGTTTCAGCAATAAAAAAAAAACCCATTTCGATAAATAATCCCTGCATTATTATTTATTCATGTGTTTTCTTCTTCTTCGTTTTTCATTACCATTCTCAACGCATAACAATCATTAGTATTTGTGACACAGTTTTGCCCAACCTTCACTAGTTATTACTGTATTTTTGTTTTTCTCGAAATTATCCCCCATTTTCCTAGCGTTCTCCGTCCGCATCCCAACTCCGACCGGCAGCTCCCGTTCTAACTGTGTAATAAGTCGTATTATTTTTTTTTTACAAATTTGAACATGATTTTTCCTTTCTATTCCCTAGGTTTAGATGTAGGTTCGTTTTTGTTTCATTGAAATCGGTAAACAGTCCTCCAAAATGGTGTCACTAATCTTCCATCACTATCCGCTCTTCAACTTTTAAGTTCGTTTTTTTTTACGACTGTTAACATTCTTCCATGCATGGTTTTAATAGTTTTTTACATCGAGTTTTGATTTTCTTCTTTGTTGTTCTTTTTGGTTTATTAAAAATTGTGTTCTGGTTTTAAACTATTTACAACGGTTAATTAGTTTGGTTACCATTACCTAGCTTAACGATTACTCTTTATGTTAAGTTATCTTTAAATATTCACGGTTTTGATTGAAAATTGAATGGGTTTCTTCGTTCTTGTTTGGTTTTGTTAGTTATTCGTTTTCTGTTTAGCCTAATTTACATTGTCTTTACTTTGTTTAGTATATAAAAAATTATTACATCTCATCCATTGTTAATTACACTTTTTTTTTCAATAATTCATAACGATCGTCTCATTCACTCAAAACCGCCTATTTACAAACGAGTCGCTTTCAGTAGAGCAGTGGAAATGTTCATTTGTCTAACTTTTGTTTTTTTAAGAGTAGAAGATTTCAGTTTTACTTCAAGTTTGAGAGCCTTAAGTTAGGTTAGGTTTTCGCTTTCTAGATTAAGATCGAAGAAAAAAGTTTACCTCTAATTCGAAGTTGACCTTATTGTTGTGTTCAGTATTTGGGACGTGTCTGAGCCCGGATTTCCTATCAGAAACGGGTCGCATTGTGTAGCATCCGGTCCCCGACGCCAGTGTTGCCAGTGGGCTGAACATGGCCGGAGGAGGCAACCGAGTCTGGCGTGCTGCAGTGAGGTGGCAGTTCTTGAACGGTTTGCAGCAGGCTGGATGGCTGGAATGAACAGAGTAGATTTCACAACTGTAGATCGTCGAGCGAGCACTCGGCAGCGAATCGGCTTCTGGTGAAGGAACTCAGGAAATGGGTCACTCCACTGGGACCAGGAATGGGTTCGATTTCCACTGGCAAAGGCGGTGGCGGTGGAGGTGGTGGAAGAGGAGGAGTTGGTGGCAGTTGAAACTAAAAGAGGATAGCAGAAGAAAAAAAAAAAGAACGAAAAATGTCTAACGGTAATAAATCATAATTAAATCGTTTGAAAGTTCAACACAATCCCAATCACAGAAATTAGCACAAACACCGAATCAATCAATTTGATCGGCTTTCCGAGTGCCATTGAATGATTGCATTTCAAATTCGACGAAACGATCAATCAATTTTAGGACGCAACGTACCTTTCCTGAGAAAACCCCAGGACGACAACGACGACAAAGACGGCGACGATGTTGAAATTTTGCGTCGATTTTCAGCCGCACTCCAAAGTGGTGACACATCAAACTGCCTACCGAAAAGGGAAACGCAACTCCCATTGGTGAAAACCATTAGGAAATGAGATTGCCTGTTATTTTAGAGCCCCCTGTGCTGTTACTGTTCCTCTCCGTGTCGCATATGGTGAAGATTATTTGGAGAAGGAAGGAGAACGGGGAGGAGGGTCTAGTCAGCAAGCAATCATATAACGGATTCTCGAATACGTCAAGACTAGAGACAGAGGGAGGCTGATGATTTTGATTAATTATTACGGCATGAGTAGATGAAATTAAAGTTGCAGATACATTTGAAGGAAGGTGGAACTATGAAGATGCACCTGGGTGCTGCGTTTCAATATGAATTGTGAAACGGTGCTTAGGAGAAATGGCTCTCGTGTTGTTCTACGGAGCTAAACATTGAGCCCATTGATGTTTAATGATGTCTAATGTTTTAAAAATTTTCTTAGAATAATGTGACATCTGGACATTACATAATCTAAATACTCAGTCTAATCTAATCTAATCTAACACCAACACAGCTACCCAAGTAACATTTTAAGTTTTATTAAATTAAAAAAAGCAACTATAAAACAACATTCATAAAACTCTGGTCAAGGCTATTTTGTCATTAATGCATCCACCAAAACCTCATTAAGACTAGAATATGTCTAGTTGGCCCACCCTGGAGAAGGTTTTCAAGGGAGTATTCTCGAAGCTCTTCAAGATTGATTTACTGCAAAAGGTTGTATGACGAACGCATTGGGAACCATTTGAAAGCTACAACAAAAGCTATTTAGCAACAATATAAACCCTTTGCGAGCCATTTCCCCTAGCCGCATGGTAAGCATCAATCAAGATAGAAAAGGATTTATGAATCCGATCTTATCAAAATAATTAAAATAGAAACTGATGGTATAAAAATCTTGTTGAATATTCCAATTTATTACAGTAGTTCTCATTAAGTGGCCTAGTCTTAAGTGCTTTATTAAATTTTATGTGAAATGTACGTGAAAACATCGTAAAAAAGTACGTCCGCCCTCGTAAAACGTCGATTTGACTAATTATTTTACATTGAAAAAAAAAAATTATTCTTCAGATCGAGGACGGCTGAGATTTTTTTTTTTATGATTTTCGCATTTAAATATTTGCTCATTGCTAAATTTACCAAAAACATAAATATATCCAAGGAACTATAGATTGAAAATCGAAGATTGTAAAAAAAAAACAAGCAAACTAATTGTAACATGGCGGTGGCATAAAAGTTGATTTTCATGGGTCATTTGTGAAAAAGTTGTTTTGCTTTCAAGAAATCCTTAACAAATTCATAAGGTTTTAAAATGGCTTTTATGAAGAAAACTTGCAGCCTGAATTGTATTTATCTAAAGCCATTTAGCTTGATCCTAACCCGTTCAGATTTATGGCAGCATTTATGGAGGCAAAGCTGCCTGCAAAAAGTTAAACGATCCAGGGTTCTTCCAGACAGTTTTCTCCCGATGGATTGGGAGCAGTTACTCAGATAGTTTGCGATACTGTTTTGCAACATTTCGTATGTTTTTCAACTTTCGGCAATGTTTTATGAATTCAAGGACCCGCTCACTTTACTCTTCTCCGCCAGATGGTCAGTAAATTTTGCTGAAATCGACTTGAATTTTTCATCCTACTTCGTCTATCCTTCGAGATTTCCTTGTCATAAATTTGACGTTTATTAACTATGAGGAACCATCTTTTAAGCTCAATTTGTAAACAGAGTAATTGGGGAGTTTAAGATGCACTTTAAAAAGCCTAAAAAGCAACAATAAATGCTTTTTGTTCTAATGCAAAACCTAATGGTTTTATGGTTGCTTTTATAATGATAGAGACGTTTATAAGGTATTTTATCAAGGCATTAATAAACAATTGCTAATGACGTTTATGCTTGAATTACAGAGCAGTTTTAAGAAAGGATTGAGAACTGTTTTGAATTTATTTTTAAAACAAGACAGTTTTTGACTTTCTTGCAAGACTATAAAAGGTTTTTAAAACAGCAAAAAGCTGAATTACTAAGCAGGAATGTTTTACACTTTAAAATGCTGTATTTATACTAAATGGTTAGTTCATTGCCGTTATAAAACCATCATAAATCAGAGTGGATGCTAAATGGTTTCTGAATTGTTACTTGGGTAGTTCATGAAAATCCTGGAAATCGATTAATATAGCTTTGGCATTGACTGTTTTCGGCAACCAAAATTTAAACGGTAATTTAACTGCATTTTCTACCAAACACTTTGCCGAATGTTTTCCAACGATTTCATAGTCTTTCAGCCTCAATATGACTATGTTTTTACGACTAATCAAACGCATTTTGCCAAATTATTTCTTTTCTTGAAGAACAGAAGATTAACACGCAGTTCAAATGGAAAAGCTGCCTAAGAAAAAGAGGTTGCCGACAATAGTCACACTCATGTGAGAATATTGGAGCGTTGTAAAGGAGTTTTGGACAATCCTACAAATTGGAATGGATAGAACAGGCAGCAAAAAGGCTGACTCAAAGTAAATTGGTACGCCCCTTGCGTGCCGCTAGTGTTGGGAATCGAAAATCTTTGACAGTGGTTTGTTTACACTTCAATATATAACAACTGGTGCAAGTTTAATCAAAGTAGTCGATCGCGTTCAGAACTAACGTCAAATGGAACTCGAAAGAAGACAAAATATTGTGCGCAAACACCTGGAAAATCCGGAGTGGTCCGGTTCCAAGCTGACTAAAGTGCTGAAGATGCCGATGTTGAGTGCTCAAAACCAACTAGGAAACCCTGAGTGTGGAAAGGAATCAGCGGATCTTCTAAAAAACTGGAACGAGCTGCGCAGCAAGGTGTTGAGGTGCGTTAAAGCCAACCCCGGTCTTTCGATCCGAGATGTGGCCAAAAGGTACAACGCCAACTTTCAAACGGTGCGGGTTATCCTTGCCAGGGAAGGATACAAGTCGTACAAAGCCAGTAAACATCCGAACCGGCACATGAAGCAGAATTCCGTGGCCAAAAAGCGTGCAAGGCTCTTGTTCGACCGCGTTTTGACGAAACATAAGGGCTGCACTTTGATCGATGACGAAACATACGTCAAACTCAATTTTAAGCAGCTTCCCGGTCAAAAATTTTACATCGCGACTGAACGTGGGGATGTGCCGGGAAGATTCTAGTTCGTGTTTGCCTTTCAAGTTCACAAGCTCGTCGACATCCTTGACGATGGCATCCCAAGGTTACATCGAAAAATGCCTGAAAAAACGTGTATGTATTGCCGTTCATCCGCAAGCATAGGGGCAAAGTCATCTTTTAGCCCGATTTGGCCAGCTGCCACTACTCCAAGGTGGTTCTGGAGTGCTAATGAATCCTCCGAAGCGGCGGGGCAGTCAAGGACATCCAGCAAATGCGGGCAAAGTGCAAGAAATCCGCTGATTCCGTGTCCATTTCCACCGTGCGGGCGCATAGAGGCTCCATCAAGAGGAAGGTTCGAGATTTTGTTCGAACTGGAGAAATGTAACCATCTTACGCCGTAACTTTGAAGTTATAATAAAAGTTCTGTAAAGCAACCATTGATGAACTTTTTAAACTTATTGAATCACGAATTACAGGTCCTTTGGTGCGTACCAATTTACTTTTAGTCAGCCTTTATGAATTAAAACAAACAAACACAAAGAAACGTGGATGCTGCTTAGATTCCGTAAATTCCCCTACCTCCATATTTGTTCTTATCTATTTAGTACATGTTGCACATCAGAGATGCGCATAGTATATCAAAACAGCCAGGGCTACTGTGCAGCATTTAAGGGGCAAGATGATTCACATACAACGGGCCTGTTTGAATCAAAGATTTATGTACGATGCTACAGAATCCACTAAATGGATGAAACGTGGCACGACGACGAGTGACACATTTTGATGGTAGGATCATATAGGATTTTGCTTCCTTCTGCAAAGATATCCAAGAATACAAGGTCTTCTTAATTATGGATTGTGTATGATAGAATTTACTCACTACATGGCGCTTAAAAGAAAATGATCAAGTTGCGCGATCTTATATACATTAAATTCTGGAACGCGCAAAAATTGGTCATCTTCAAATTGGTGTATTTCTGTTAAAAATGCATAAGGAATCCTTATTGCCGGGGTAACGGGGGCGTGAATAAGGAACCGCGAAAAAGGATTCCCACAGCTTATGGGATTTTCACTAATGGGGGCTGTGGTGGATTATCTCATTTGTTACAATATATAGAGCTATACTGTCTTCTAAAAAGTTGTTGTACTGAGATAGACCAACAAGCCTGTGTCATTGGATTCAGGTTTAATTGGGAATTACGCCGCTAGGAACGCTTCACTTTTATGTTACTTATGACGGGTGCTGTAATATATATGGATCTTAGGTCCAACATACAATATTTCGTGTATTTCTAACACTCCATATTAGTTTAGAACTCTCTCACTACACACCGCTAGTGTGCACATGAGCTTCCTATATAAGCTGTATCTCAAAATCCTGGCCATATAGAAGGTTACTGTCTTCAGCAAAGTAGTTCAGGCGACCAAGTCCTTTCGGATGGTGGGCATATTAGTTCAGAACTCTCTCACTATGCGGCGCTATTGTGCACATGAAATTCCTTAATATGTTATTTATGGAAAGCTTGTCCATATAAGATGTTGCTAGGAATGACGTTTAGAGAGGCTGTAAATCGATTTCGGACGCCATGTTAAAATCCAAGATGGTGGTCATCGATTCATGAAAAACTGTAATATACCCTACATCATGAGCATCCTGGGCCCGGTGTTATGGAACGTCATGTACGACGGAGTGTTGAGGATAAACGGAGGATCAGTAGGCGTGAAAATTGTAGGTTTTGCTGACGATGTCACGGTGGTAGTCCACGGGGAATCCCTCGAGGAGGTAGAGCTGACAGCGGCTCACTCCATGAAGCTTGTGGAGGAATGGATGAGGTCCAGGAAACTGGAGCTTGCCCATCACAAGACGGAAGTGGTCGTAGTCAACAATCGCATGTCGGTGCAGCATGTGACGTTGACAGTCGGCGAGAGCACAATTAGGTCTGTGCGCTCTCTGAAACTCTTACGGGTTATGCTCGATGATAAGCTCAGCTTCGGTTGCCACGTCGAGTACGCCTGCAAGAGAGCGTCTATGGCTGTGGGGGCATTATCCCGCATGATGTCAAACAGTTCGGCAGTGAGTGCCAGTAAGCGCAGGCTTCTCGCTGGGGTCGTAGTATCTATCCTCAGATACGGCGGCCCTGCGTGGGCTGCGGTACTGGATATTGACTGTCACAGGCAGAAATTAGAGAGTACACACAGGCTAATGTGCTTGAGGGTGGCCAGTGCATACCGGACCATCTCGAGGGAGGCCGTATGTTTCAATACAGGGATGATGCCAATGGGCCTCATCATTAAGGAAGACGTGGTGTGCTATGACGCGAGGACCGTTCGAGGGGTGCACAACAACGCGCGAGCAGTGTCAACTCCGAGATGTCAGTCGGAGTGGGAAAACTCCACAAAGGGGAGGGTGGACCTACCGCTTGATACCTTCCGTATCAAGCTGGGTCAACAGGCGCCACGGGGATGTAAACTTCCACCTGACACAGTTCCTGTCAGGCCATGGCTGCTTTAGAAGTTACTTGCATAGGTTCGGACATGTAAGTACTCCCATCTGCCCCGCGTGCGATGGCGTCGAAGAGACGGCCGAACACGTTATGTTCGCCTGTCCACGCTTCGAGCCAGTAACGAGCGCTATGCTAGCGATATGCGGAGCGGATACCAGTCCGGATAACATCGTCCCTAGGATGTGTGGTACCACCGAGAACTGGAGCGCGGTGGTGACTGCGGTCACTCACATACATAGTTTCGGAACTACAACGACAGTGGCGTGCCGAGCAGCTGTTGCCTACTGCCCGACTAGATCGATAGAGTACTGCTAGAGGAGCGCCATAGCGCTATAGCGGCCCCTCCCACGAAGTAATGCCTTCGGGCGGTTCCGGGGAGGTCAAGGGCCAAGCGCACAGGATAAGGTTTAGTGGGTCGGGAGTGCAATTCTCCCATCCCCACACCCTGAGTTCTTTCTCAGCTGTCTGTGAGCAGATTCCCCACTGTATAAAAAAAGACCCTAGGTAAGCTAACTTAGCGGTTGGCACAGCCTATACACTTAACAATTGCAATTACAATTACGATTACATTTACTTAAATAAGTTGCAGTTGAAAGCCACTTGTCTGCCATAGTTCTGCAACATAAAGATTTGTGATATCAGGTGCACTTTGATTTCTAAAGTTGTTTTCCCATTACTAACATTAGTGTGTTTCAGAAATTTAGTTGAACATGTCTGAAACCTAATTATGAATAATAAAGGAACTAATAATTTTATTTTTTTTATTTAACGTCGGTCTCTGTTCCGCACTCTAGTGCCAATCACCGACGGACATCGATTGCCATCCATTGACGACAACCGAATGTGCAGGAAAGCATCTTTTCCACACCTGCGTAGGATATCGCACCCATTCACAACATACCAGAGATTTTTATGCCTCAGAAAAATCCCACCTACCTCGGCTGGGATTGAACCCAGACCCATTGGGGTGTTAGAAAGCAGTCACGCTTACCACTACACCACCGGCGCCGGCTTAATAAAGGAACTGATTTTCTTATTTCAAAAATTTAACCTTTATTTCAGGATTTATTCAATAACCAACGAAAATAATAATATGCAATTCTTCAGTTTAGAGCTAAGTTTCTAAATCATTTATTTTGCTAATATATTAATGAAAATATCTCGTAGTTCTACGTCAAAAATGCGGTCATGCTTTGGATACAACTCTTAATTTGTTTCATCCATTTCGAAGAGAATGCTGTAGAGAACATAAACATGAAAAACAAATTGAAGTTCTTGAAGAAAAAAAAAACATAGTTTTTATATCAGTCGTGCATTAAGGCTTCTGGCTTACCCTATATACATATAACAGTTCAAAACTTTATATACAAAACCATTCGATTAGTGCATATCAAAGGATTATCCCCTCGTAGAACGTAAAAATAAAGTCCTAAAGGAGAATGCATTAAAAACTAAAAACAAATCGCCAAACAAAAACAGACACATTTTTCGGCAATAATTAAACAAAAACCATTTCGGATCTGTTGCCACCGAGGGATGAACAATGCAGAGCTCAGAGATTGCAGTCGCCCACGCTGCGGACAGGAAATTGGAAAGGATTTCTAAAACGCGATTCCATTTCCTGCACCATCAGTCGGTGAGGCACGTACGGAGGTAGGTAGGATGGAGAGGGGTTGGAAAAGGGTACTTACCGCTTCATTGGAACATATCGACGGATTGTTGCTGACGGGTGCGTGATGGCCGGCAAAGAGCGGCGGCGGAGGGAATCGTTCCGTGAGGGAGGCGGCCGAGGTGGGTGGCGGGATCATCATCCCCGCCGGTGGATGCTGCTGCTGGTGGTGCTGGTGCTGGTGCTGCAGGCCGGTGTGTGAAATCGGAATGCCGGCCCGGGTATTTGTATAAACCAAATTTGTTGAATGTACTGATGGATGGTGTGCCAAATCAATCTAAATTGTGTTTTATTTTATTGCGTTGCGTTACGAACACGCATTTCGGATTGGTCAGTCGGTTTGTTGTTGATGTTGGTGTGTTCGGGATCAAATCGAATCGAATCGGTCGAGGTAGTTTGTTTTTAGTGTTATCCATAAAAGCGTCATTGTTGTACGAGGAGCAGCATAAAAAAGCAGATGGAAATAAATATTTTATTAGAAATCTATACGAAACGTTCGGACCGAGAGGCTGCCTGCCGGGGGAGTAGAATAGAATCTACTACCGACGACATGGGAACTGCATCTGGTTCCGTTCACAAAGCTTTTAAAAAATTCAGCAATCAAACGGAATTCAAATCAAATCCCCAAAGTGGAAACCAGATGATGAACATCAATTAACAATTTGTTTCAAGAGCAATCAATTTTAGATGAAGTAATTTCCATCCCGTTGTGGGAAACTTGAAATGGCCTCTGGTTCACCCTCAAAACGAGGCCATTCATCGAGAGCAGGATGCTTAAAATTAAGCAACCCGGAAGGGGGGAACCCTGTTTCATTTATTAACAATGCCAACAAGAATAGCACCAGGAGAAAGCCATATTGATTATTGATGGTTTTCCGGAGGAATCTTTTTCTTTTGTTAGCATGACTATGGCTTGAAGCAGACCACCGAGAGCGTTCACATGGATACCATATATTGTAACAATTCGGACAATGCTGCATGGTTGAGAAAATTTGCAATGGAAAATGCTTCGCTTTTCTGTTTTTTGGGTTAAAGAGCTGAGCTGTTTCAATGCAAATTGATTGTTTCGATGTTTTTCGCCTGAAATTTTGTCAGCGTGAATTGTAATTAGGACCAGTTTTGGTGTTGCCACTGACAGATTTCATGCTAAATTAATCATTTTATTCGACCATTTTCCACAGAGGTGGCGCTGTTCCGCTGGTAGGAAGTGATAAAAATCCCCATATAGAAATTAAGAGAAGTGGGAATAATTCGCTTTTGGTGCATATTCAGGTCAAAAAAAGTGAACGACAACCTAAAGAAATGAATCAGGGACTTTGTCGTTCAGTTTTTTCCCGGAAATCATTGTTAAACAAGCATCAATTAAATAAAAATGATTTATTCCCATACAGTTTTACATGATTTACTACCAGCTCCCAGAGAGCCAAAAAATTCAAATTTGAGAGAGAAATTCTCTCTCACGAGCTCAATCTCTCAACATGCCATGTATTTTGTTGACACTCGATTTGTGATTTCCCTTTCACAGATTACAAAATAGAGTACCTGACAGTACAAAACATGTCTGGTACCTCTATATATGCATTTGCTTTAACATTTGAAGTCCCTCCTTTTTTACATATTCTGCGCAAAAGATACTTTATGCCCCGCCCCATACATAAAATTCGGCGGGAAATTTTTGTGAGGGGTGGGCTAATTTGTGTCTAAATCTAAATGCATATACATATAGAGGTACCAGACATGTTTTGCACTTCAGTGTCCTCTTTGAACAATTATAGGAAAACAGATTGCGTCTAGTTTCCGATAGATGTCAACGCAAACAACAGCTGTGACATCTGATGGAACATGAAAGCAGAAGCTTGACAAAATGATCAATTACGTCTCCTTTGAGTCCATTACCGCCTTTGCTTACCACGATAGCATGCAAAAGCGAAGTCATATTTTCACCTGGAAAGTTGAAATTCCTTCCGAATTCACTGTAGTATCTTCTAACTTCCTTCGGAAATGTATGTCAGCTTTTGCACAGAAGTATCTACCAATTTGCCTTGGAAGATTCGTCTGGCTTCTCCGAAAAAGTTCCCCTGTAAGACTCTTTCAGCATGTTTGAACTTTCTTCCGGCTTTTTTAGAAGTTCTTCTAACTTCTATTGAATATATCTCTGAAATTTTACGAGTAGTTTTGACGTAGGACTACTTCTGTGATTTCTATGTGGGGGTACACTTTGTGAAAATCGAAAATGGAGCATGTAACAAAATTATCAAAGATTTTGAACCTTAATAACTCAGCTGCCCCTGGACCAATTTCAATAATTTTATCACCAATCGATTAGCAACATTCCTACGTATGTGTTAAATTTAAGACATGTTCATTTTTCAAAATGTCACTTTTTAAAATTGCACGAATGCGCAACTGTTGCTATGATAATTAAAATTATCACCGATTGCCTGCGAAAAGCAGTTTCCTTAACACAGATTTCAAAGTTGAATTCCATCCGGTCTCTTCAAAAGATATTTATTCAATCACTACGTTGTGAGTGGTGGTGTTCTCCGGTATACAGCGAAAGGCTCCCCGAAAGCAGCTAGCTATCAAGGCTGACTTCAACCGCTGATCGGATTCAGTTCCAATCACCGTATGTGTTGGTGTCCGGTCGTTGGCATCAGCAGCAGCAGCAGTCCTTTCGGCACGTGGCGTTGAACATTGTTCTCCAGTACACAACGAAAGGCTGCCTGCAAGCAGCGACCTGCAGCCCACATGAGCATCCATAGAAGGAGGAAGAAGCCGCACCGCTATTGATTGGAATCAGTAGCTCTTTGTGAGTCGCTGTGAGCCATCTAAGTCAAGCGCGTCATACTAAAGAGTATAAACAGAGAGAACCCCGCTCAAATTCCTATTCGTACACAAATATAAAATACATTAAATAAAGCTACGTCACCATTGGGTACTGTACCATAAAGCTATCCCTTGTAGTTTTTTAAAGCATCTCTTTAAAAATAGTTTTTTGGAGGTTTTCTAAATATTCCCCATAAGACACTGGCGTGGCATTATCTATTGTTGTGTTAATGTTTGTTCATAATGTCATCTGTATAATAAAGATGTTTCCCGGCTAGGTACACCAGTTTTCTGGCAATGTTTCGTAAATGGATGAAGAGAGTTTTTGTTTGTAATCATCTAAGACTTTCATCAGAGGACTTTTCAAAATATGTTTAATTAATTTTATGATTCTTCCCTTCAAGCTTTCTCCACTCACAAAACACTTCAAATGACATTTTTATGAAAACTTACCTAAGAGAGTCATACACACAGCTAATGTAGCACATTTTCAAATGTTTAATATGAAATAAACATATCTTAAAAATAAGTACAATTATCTTGAATATATTTCAACTATTTAAATTTATTACTCTTGCCATGGACAAGTTTGGACGATTATTTTTCAAACAGCGCCCAGTCCATGCTCCGTCCAATTGGATGTCTACCTTCCTTCCCCTCCCTAATGAAGAGATCTGCGCACGTCTTTGACCATAGATTCAAACCAATTTTTAGTCCTAATAAAATCACCCCGTGTGAAAACTACGGACACGCATCAATCGATTTTAAAAAGTACACCGTGTGTGTTCAGCGTTTTACCAGAATTTTACGTAAGTCAAAACCCATCATATGACGCATCAAATCAAAAACAACATCTTATGCGATTCCATGTTCAGGGCTGTTACAAGTTTTCTAAATGTGATCCGCGAAATCCGCGATTTCTCAAAAGAAATCCGCGACTGCAAATACTAATCCGCGACAAAAAAAACTGTTTTCATTGACTAAAAATAGCATTTGCGTACTACTACATGGCATTTCAAGCTTATTGCTTATAGCATATTAGATTTTTGCCTGCTCTCAACTTTGAAATACTTTCACATTTTAATTGAGAGCTTCCTATGCCTGTACCATCCTATGCCCTAGAAAGTAGAGAAATTTTCCAACTCGAAAAATTAATAGACCGGACGGGAATCAGTCGCCTCCAGCATGGACTTGCTTTGTACCTGTGCCTTTACCGACTGAGCTAAAGGAGTATCGTTTGTAACCTTTAAAATTAAAAAAAATAACATTGTATCATCTTCAGTTATTTATGTATGGTATAAATTCATAGTAATAAATGAACATAATAAAATACCCTTACATTATGAGATTCTATTGAATAATACCGGCCAAGATTTAAAAAATAAATCATTCATTTTCATTTGAAATGCAATTTTTTTTGAAAGTTTACCTTTGCGTCTCTGACGTATTTTTCTGTCCTAAATATTGCAGTTAATTTGGCTCTAGTTTTCTCACTTTTTACCGATTCAAACCAAACACCCTGCACATAATCGAGAAATTACCAGAATTTCATAAGTCACACTTGTTGGTCACGAAATTATAGGTTTTCCAAATCGTCCAGCACGGAGAACAAATTCGTTAAGTTAAGATAACAATCCTAATAGTTACTTTCACATGGAAAAATATTGTTGTTTGAAAGAAACCTATAGTTATTCCAACATTAATTTGACCGTCAACTCAATCATATCTACCTTATAGATTCAACTGTTCAACTATAACTTTGATCAATTATAACAACCGTCAAATGTAATTTAGTTATATAATTTGGTTTCAAGTGATTATCATAAATCCACATACTTTTAACTTGTGATGCGTAGAGCAGGCGATAAGATAGCTGGCTCTCACGCAGATGAACACGGTTCAAATTTAGATGAATGTTCTTGTTCACCTTTTTTATGATTTTGCAGTTGTGTTTTTGAGATCGATAAACAAGCAAAACAAACTTCCTTAATATGTCGATAATGAAGAGCAGTTCGTTTAATAAACATTGTAAAATTTCGCTTCCCTAACAATAGTTTTCTTGAATCAACTAAAGCATAGTTGTATTTTGAAGTTTGACGTTTGTTCATCTATTGAAAAATATAGTTGAGCCAACCGAGGAGCCAACTATGGACTATAGTTGTTGCCCTCTATATATAGTCAAATCAACTATAGTTTCGGAGTTGGTTGGAAATGCTAACATGAAGCTTTAGTGTGATGATTTATTAGCTAGAGAATGATCTTTAGAAGAGGGTAGGTGGATAGTTCCGTTAGAGTACGGCAGTATGAAAATTGAATAGAAGTTGAAAATGAGCGAAGGGCCATTAAAGCGACAGTTTACAAGATAGACGCACATTTTTGCCTAGCCCGTACGATGTACGCGGGGACTTGAAGTATGTCTCCAAGTCCACAGGCAAAAATGTGCGTCCCTCT